AATCACACACACACACACACACACACATATATTGCCTTGCAAAAGTATTCAAACTGCTTTAAATTACTTTTTTTTCCACATCAATCTACACTCCATACACCATAATGACAAAGCAAACAACAGGTTTTTAACATCTTTGCAAATGTATTAAAGATTTAAAAAAAACTTAAATGATTCCATTGCGTAAGTATTCATACCCTTATCTGGGACAGTTGAGATTTAGATCAGGAGCATTCATATTTCTTGTAGATGTTCGTACACTTCGAGTGAAGTTAACCTGTGGCAAATTCAATTGAATGGGTATGATTAGGAAAGGCACACACGTCTTAATAAAAGGTCTAACAGCTGATAATGCATATCAGAGCAAAAACCAAGTCCTGAGGTAAAAAAAAAACTGCCTGTAGAGCTCAGAAACAGGTTTGCGTCAAGCCACACATCGGGGGAAGAGTTCAGGGAAAAAATCTGCTTCATTGAAGGGTCACAGACGCATGTAGTCTCTGTTACCCTTAATGGAAGAAGTTTGAAACAACCTGCAGGGAGAACAGTTTGTGAGCTGTGAATGGACTGTAAGCCAGTAGTTTGTTGTGTTGCTGTACTGTGCTGCTGATGCTCGGCGGAGATGCTGTGAGAGAGAGAGCGCGTCTTTCTTTGACCTTTGAGTCCTGTGTGTTTCCCTTCACACACTCTTTACAGTGCTTGTGTGTGTGTGTGTGTGTGTGTGTGTGTGAAGGCTCCAGGTCATGGCAGGACATGTGCTCTCGTGTATGAGTGATGAAGTGAGCATTATTTCTGTCTAACGCTGACGGCTGTCTGTTGTGCTTGTGTTGGTCAGGCATGCGTCTGGTCCTGGACTGCAGGGCTTTCTTCGGCTACAGCGGAGATTCCCGGCCCATCATCTACTGGATGAAGGGAGATAAGTTTGTGGAGGAGCTGGAAGGACACATACGAGAGAGTGAAGTCAGGTACTGTGTTACTTCAATTAAGAGCAACAAACTGTGGTCAGGTGAGCGTGCATGAGCTGAAGAACAGAGCGGCGTTGTAGAACACACACTCACAGCCGCTGAGCACACAGAGACCTCTAGTGGACCAAACGAGTGCTCATCTGCTGTCATTCTGCTGTCATTCAGTGTGCACTATACATTACTGTGTGCAGTACAGTATCATACACAAAACACCAGTCACTATATGCAGTATGTACAGTCCCTGTGAGACACTGAGATTGATTGATTGATTGATTTGAGACACTAAATTGTCTATACACTGTAAACAGTTTTAGGACTTTTTTGAATATAATCGACGTATATTTAAAAATTGTTGTATCAATTTAATAATTAAAGTTGGTCTGGGCTTTCATCAAACATAATATAATTTAATATAACCAGGGTTATAATGATAAAACCGTACAAATGCATTTTAGTTAATTGAAACAAAAATAAAGATTAACTGAATAAAATGTGAGGCAACATTTTTCCTTTTCATTTAGTTGAATGATGTACTAAAATAACAAGAACTGAATGTTAATAATGAAATAACTGAAACTAAACATGAATAATAAAAAACTGTACATATGAAAAAAAACTAATAAAAATGGCAAACACACAATATAAAATTACTTAAACTTTAACTAAATTTAAAATGAAAATTGAAAATGTAAAAAAAAAACTGTTCAAAGTATTTCTAAAAACTACGATGGCATCTCAAAGATAACACTGAATATATCATAACATATTAAAGTTATGATATAATAAAGTTATATAAAGCTAAAATACTGGATTCAAGTTCAATACATTTGTATTTGAAGTTAAACTGAGTGATGTAGAGCTTTGTCTAGAGTTGCTAATATACACTGTAAAAACATTCCGTAAAATCTACGGTAAAAAACGGCAGCTGTGGTTGCCGGAATTTTACCGTAAAAAATACGGTAGCAACATTTTAGGTTTTACGGTTTTAACTTAAATTTACAGTTAAATACCGTAATTTCATTGACTGATATAATGTTAATATACCAAGCTATTGAAGTACTGAAATCTGTTTTGATTTCAAACAACACAGTGTCATTCACACAAACACTAAAAACATCACGGTGACACACATGAAACTGAAATAATGCAATAAACATTCATTTAACAACATTAGGTGTAACACACAACCCTAATATACAAAACTGATAAGAAAAAACTAAGAAGAAACAGTTATTTCAACAACAAAACATCACATTTGAAATGTAACGCAGGGAATTCTGGGAATGTCAATTTACGGTTATTCACTGTAAATTACACGGTCGTTTTCACTTCCAAAAACGGTATACTACCGTAAAATTTATGTCCAATACAGTTTTTCACCGTATATAGTAGAGGAACTTACCGTTAACCATTTAACAGGTTAGCATTTTAGCATTTTTACAGTCTTTTACCGTTAAATTCATGGTCATGTTTTACAGAGTACTCCAAGACAAGTGACGGGCACCCAAGAACCCAAGAGAGCACGAATCACTCTAATGTTGAGATGAAACATAACACAGGTTTTATATAATCACAAACTCTACACAGGGCTCAAACATCCACTCATTCTGAATAGTGATGTCATCATTAGTGGCCATGCTTTGCCCAAAAACAGCTGATCCTCAGTGATCAAACTGAGCCGACAGACCCCAGTCATCAAACGCCACACTGGAAGTGAGTTCCTCATACTAAATGGCCAAAGAATTCATGCATTTTATGTTTTGCAACTTTTTCTACATTCGGTCCGTTTTTAAAGCCCTTAACACACTGCAGGACTTCCGGCTATCCCAGACGAAAGACTGGCATCGTATAACAGTCGTGGTGATTAATCAGTGCTCCCGTGTCGTACCGTGAGAGAGCTTCAAAGACGGCCGTTATCACGGTCTTGTGATCAAAGATAGCCTACGATACAGCGTGATCATCGCACAGTGTGTTCGCTGCTACGACCCGCGTTTACTGACCAACCAATACAAATGAGACATGAAATCAACATGACGGCGCTAAAACATAAAACTGCTTACCTCAAGCTCTTATCCCTTCCTTTTTCAACGCTTCCACTTTTTTGAGCACACATAAAAACTACATCTGCTAAAGTGTGATTCATCATGCTCTCTGTGTACCACTAGCGCAAGCTGATGATGTTTCATTCTTCTGTAGAAAACCTAGGCGTTACAGGTTTGCCTTGCAAAAGTATTCAAACTGCTTTAAATTACTTTTTTTTCCACATCAATCTACACTCCATACACCATAATGACAAAGCAAATAACAGGTTTTTAACATATTTGCAAATGTATTAAAGATTAAAAAAAAACTTAAATGATTCCATTGCGTAAGTATTCATACCCTTATCTGGGACAGTTGAGATTTAGATCAGGAGCATTCATATTTCTTGTAGATGTTCGTACACTTCGAGTGAAGTTAACCTGTGGCAAATTCAATTGAATGGGTATGATTAGGAAAGGCACACACGTCTTAATAAAAGGTCTAACAGCTGATAATGCATATCAGAGCAAAAACCAAGTCCTGAGGTAAAAAAAAAACTGCCTGTAGAGCTCAGAAACAGGTTTGCGTCAAGCCACACATCGGGGGAAGAGTTCAGGGAAAAAATCTGCTTCATTGAAGGGTCACAGACGCATGTAGTCTCTGTTACCCTTAATGGAAGAAGTTTGAAACAACCAGAACTCTTCCTAGAGCTGGCCTCCTGATGGAGAAGGGCCTTGTCTAGACTGGTGACCAAGAAGCTGATGGTCACTCTAGTTGAGCTCCATGATCATATGTGGAGACAGAAGGACAAACATCACCGCAGCACTCCACCGATCTGGCCAGACTCAATCCTCTCCTCAGTGAAGACACATGAAAACACACTTGGTATTTGCAAAAAAGCACCTAAAGATGCTCTGGTCTGATGAACCTCAATTCCAAACATCCGTGAAGTTGGCACCCCATAAAAAGAAATAATCACCAAAACTATGCCATTCATTTGTGCTGGTTTGTGCCGTTGAAACAAACGCTGTATCTATTTTCCTTCCTTAGATATATATAACCAGAATGTTTTTGGGAGCTGTGACGTCACTCTCCAGTTCGTCTAAATCGCACAAACCCGGCGTCATTTGTTTGTGCTCGATTAGTGCTGATTTGTGCCGTTGAAATGAACATCAAATATATTTCCCCTTCTTAGAAATAACGAACAGAATTCGAGGCAGTGACGTCCCTCTCCACCCCATGCCGTCCTTGTTTTCTGAGGAACTCAAATCTTTGATATCTTTTCTAATATGCAGATTTGAGTTACATTGCCATATTATAGTGGTGCTAATGTCTGTGCTCAGAGATGTCAGTGATTTGTTGTCTGCTGAAAATATTCAGGTGTTTAGTAGTTTTGCGAGTGTCTGAAGTCCTGTTATTTCAATAGTGTTTGATGTGTTTGAATCATTACTGGTTCAGGACCCGTATTCACAAAACATCTTCAGGCTAAAAGTAGCTCATAACTCGCAGATTTAGGAGAAATCTTAAAAATAATGGACGTGTCAGTCCTAAATGTTTGCACTAGGAGTATTTCACAAAGTGTTTGAGCACTAAAACTAGCTCCTAAATCAGTGAAAGGTTAGGAGCAGTGAAGAGGAGTCCTAAGTCACTAAAACCAAGCCACAAACTATCCTAACATAGCTGTTTCCAGCAATCTGCCTCAGAACAGAAACATTTTAGTAACACACTGCATTTATTTGCACACATACAGTATGTCTTCCCATGCATCTTTTTTGGTTTTGGAGATTTTCCTTTGATTATGTCCTTGTTTTCATTCAGCAGCTCAGCAAGAAGCAACAGCTGTTCTTTTAGCTGGTTTACGTTTGCATGTCTTACTATCAGCCGTGATTATTCTACTCTGTTCATTAAAAGGCTGTTTATATGCATATCCGCTAATTGTTTAAGAGAAGCACACGTGTAAGAGGCTGACAATTATCTGAACATATACTTGTTTAATTAGTGACACTTAGCCTGCATTTTAAAATCTTTATTTACATTTTTATTTTTAAACCTTTATTTGAATATGGCAACATAATATTTCTATGAATAAATCTCTGACAGAGACTATCAGCCAATCACTGTGTGCATAGTTAATGAGCATGCTGACATCATCCACCCCGCTCCTACTCTGAGCTTAAGACTTCTCTCTGTTCCTTAGTAAAAGCTTGTCTCAGCAGCTTTGTGGATAGGTTTGAAGAGAAAACTCTTAGCTAAAACTTTTTTTCTGAGCCTCTAGATGGTGCTGTGTGTAAGTCAGGAGTGATGCATCCTTGTGAATGACCTCAAATGAAGAAAAGTGTGAGGTTGAGAAACCCAGGGAAAACATTACAACTGAACATTACTACAGTAATAGTAAAGGTTTCCCACAGTCAGTGAAAACCTGGAAATATCAGGGAATCATAGGCAGTTTGATCATATTCATTATTTTTATTGTAAATATACACATGGGTGCAAAAGTGGGGCATGCAGAATATACAGCGCATGGGGCGCCACGCTGGCAAAAACACCCAAACCATGGGTTCATACATGGACACAGTATTGGGAGACAACTCTTAATGATTGAATTCATCTGTTTCAATCAGACCCATTAGTAATGTAAGTTTGGTGGATGAAGGATAATGGTGTGGGGCTGTGCTTCCAGTGAAATCTTAAAATGTCTTGAAATCAAGACATTTTGGACAATGCTGTACTTCCACCTTTGTGGGATTGGTTTGGGGAAGGACCTTTTCTCTTCCTGCATGACTGAGGACATGAAGCAAGCTCCGTAAAGGTTGGATGAGTTTGCTGTAGAAGAAGACCTCAACCCCATCAAACATCTTTGGGTTGAGCTGGAACGGAGATTGAGAGCCAGGTCTTCTCATCCAACATCAGTGTCTGACCTCACAAATGATCTACTGGATGAATGTGCAAAACACATGCAGAAACGCCCCAAAATCACGTGGAAAGCTGCTCCAGAAGTGTGGAAGCTGTTATAGCTGCAAAGAAAGCAATGTCATTAAAGTGTAGGTGTAAGTGTCCATATATTCTGTCGTGTGATGACTATATAGTAGGCACTCACTTCGTGTCTAATGAAGTTGCACTGCTGGGAAATCATGCCGATGATAAAGTAACAGGGTTGTCCATGGTTATGTGACAAAAACAAAAGCCTTTGGACTACTTCCAATTTACTCATTTTAAATTATGTTATGAATGAGCTTTTTTTTCCTCCCAAAAACCACACAAACAGATGGTCTGAAGTAATTCTGCATCTAATCCTAGTGTGACGCGCTATTAAACTCAGCCAGAACCAGAGCTCCAGCAGCACAAGCCTGACTCACACTCATATTCCCATCAGCTAAACACAGACACACACACACACACACACATTACACAAACACACACATACACACACACACTCTCACACACTCTCTCACACACACACACACACACACACACACACACTCTCTCACACACACACACACACACACACACATTATACACACACACACACACACACACACGCATTACACAAAGACTGCACACACACACACACACACACACTCTCTCACACACACATACACACCCCCACCCCCACACACACACACACACACACCCACTCTCTCTCT